ATTACAATTTCGCGAGCGCCGTTGAACGCAACAGGTCATACGCGTGGTGATCAACAAATTTTCTCACCACTCGAGGTACAGAGGACGCAGCACGGGCCGGCCCCTCCAGAAGGAAGACCAAAAGCGAGGTAGGGTCAGTTAAGTGATCAAAAATCTTTTGATCCTGTCTTGAGTAATTTTTGCGACTTCTTGCTGTGCCAGCTGCGGCCAAAGTCCGTTTCCGCACGGACAAAACATTTTTGAATGAAACGCAAAACATAAGTGACAATACGAAGAAATTTCGGAAGAGAAGAAAATCTGTCCAATAAATTCGAAAAAGGAAAGAACTTTTGTGGAAAAGTCGAGTAAACATACCTTTTTGATTCCTCTTTCCGAATATCTGGTGAGTCGAGAGTAGGAGTTGGATTGTTCGGCCATTGGTCAGACGAACGACGTAGCCATTCTGGGCCGTTCCACCACATAGAGTTGTTCAATAGCTCTTCCGGCAACATACCACGTGATGCAATATCACCTGGGTTGAGTTGTGTTGGGACAAATCTCCAAGAAAATGGAGGAAGAATATTTTGAATGTGAGATACGCGATTTGCGATATAGGTTTTCCATTTATATGGAGGCGCTCTTATCCAACCGAGAGCTACCATGGAGTCAGACCATGCGAAAATGGATTCAAAACCAACATCAGAATAACTGAGCTGATAGCTCGAGGCGAGGAAGGGAGATCCTTTTTAGTGCCGCCACTTTGGTCTTGGCTGTCACTAGCGTGGAAAATACACTGCCAGTTGAATCGGCGACTCGAAAATACGCGCATGCGCCGAAACCAATTTCCGAAGCATCGCCGAAAACATGAGAGTAGAGACTGAAGATTTGGTGTCAAGATGTACCTGGGAATTTTTATCTGGGAAATCAAGGGTAACTGAGTTTTGTATGTCAACCATCGATCGACAAGACCTTGGGTTGGAGTATCATCCCAATCTACACCCTCTGCCCACATCAATTGAATTAGATGCTTTGCAAGAAATATGCAAGCCGATTGGATCAAACGTTCGAGCAATGCTTGCCAATTTTGTCAAAGTCGGATACACCATACTTTGCTCCACTGGGGAGCCGATTCTCCTTCCAAAGGCAATTCGCCACAGACACCACATCATGCGAACTTCCTCACTCCGTTGCATCTTCTGCATCGGTAGAGCTAAACTCACCTAAATCCTATGCCTCTTCTTCGGCGAATATATCCGACTCAACCTTACTCGCTACCGCCCTCGTACAAGTGGCTGACAGACATGGCAACCGACACACTTGCCAAGCGCTGCTGGATAGCGCGAGTCAGGTAAACTGCATCACTGAGAAGTGTTTTCGAAGATTGGGTTTGAAAAGCTACGGTGGAAGTGTTGAAATTCAAGGTATCGGTGATACGTCAGTTGCTACATCGAGAGGCTACACTACCTTCGAACTAAGCGTGCCTGGTTTGAATCAACCTTTTGTGGCAGTCTATTCAGTCATATTACCGTCCATTTGCGTTAACATGGCTATTGTTTCAGTAGAACACAATAGCTGGGATCATTTGTCTCATATTAAGTTAGCCGATCCAAGTTTCAAGACTCCTAGTGGAATCGACATTTTACTAGGTGCCTCCATATTTCCGTTACTCATGTTGAATGGCAAGATTATGCGTTTTCAAACTTTGAAGTTTCAAATAATTCTGCCAAAATATTAGTTAAACTGACAGATGAGTAAATCTTAACCTGATTTTCATGGTGATTCTTAAAAATGGTACTTGATAAGAAGGAAGAAATGAAAGTATAGAAAATGTCTGTTGAACATGAAATATATCAATTTAGTCCCAAAGAAATTTTTCCGTTACAGAAACGGCGTTGCCAGTAATTAATTGTGAATGTTTGACCAAGAATAATCGCAGAAATCTAGAAATTCCGGAAGCAATTTATAAACATACGTCACCAACTCAGACATTAATACTCCGTAAATCAATACGAGACGCGTTATACAATTACACGTACATAATTGAGTAGCCGTTCTGCAAACTTCCGTTATCTGAAACCCTAACGGTAGTTCACTAGAGTGGGCATCGGCTCCCCGGGGCACAGTTAACGTTCGATATTAATGGGCCGGGTCAGTTTTTCTCTCAATTCGGACCATCGAAAAATTGCGTCATGTTCAACCCTCCTAAAACCCTTGAATGTCCCGCGACGAAGCTAAGTTGACGACCTGTAGGGCAAGCAAAAAATTGGAACGAAGCTTAAATCAGGCTTTACTATAACAGTTATCGTCATATTTTTCTTATATTAAAATATCAGGCAAAAATGTAACAATATTAACAAGATAAAATTAAAATTTTGAACTATTTTTCACGAACTTTGGACTCTCTATTCACCCATCTGTTTTTATACCTTTTTACATTAGCGGGCCATAGAAACGTTCAATTTTTATTTGAAGCATATTAATTGTTGCCATTTGCAAAATACTGCATTAAATTAAAATGTTGTTTAATATGCATTTGGCACAATAAAACATTTATTAACTTGGTAATGACATGCTCGACTATAAAAATGGGAAATAACATCTCAAATTAAAGGTGATCAGAGAAAAGATGCTGAATTAGGCAAGAATTGCGGTGGTCTTATATATGAACTTGAAAATTAATTCTTATATTTTTACACCAAATCGCTACAATTCGTGGTTTCGGAGATATGGCCGAATATTTGCCCACCCTGTATACACCATATAGTGTATATCAAAGTATATCGCCATTTAACGAACTCTACCCCCAATAAACTTTTAACGATTTTCTTACCCATTGCCAATTTGCAAACTCACCAAAACTAACCAAAACTATCAGGCGAAAGCATCTTTAGATTAAACTGTTGTCTGCAAAGAATATTAAGGACTCTAGCTTGGATTATCATGAGGATACAAGTGTAGAACTTTTTCAAAATTGGTTTCAAAACAATCTTTTAGAAAATATTCCCAATAACAGTGTTGTTGTCAGAGCCGTCTGCTACGCAAAGCACCACCTTCGTCAAGTTCAAAAACTGAAATCCAGGAATATTTGTTAGAAAATGATAAAAAGTCCTGAATTCAATCTTTCATATGCAATTAAAAAACAGCATGTATGCGATAATTTAGCTGAACAGGCCGCGCATACTGTTTTACGTCTTTCTCCATATAATTGCATGTTTAACCCCATAGAGCATTTGTGAAACGAAGTAAAATCAAAGGTTAGAGAAGAAAATGTTACCGCTACTTTAAGTCCCAGCGTTATAAATTTGATAAAAAATGTAATTATTAACATACCAATTGAGAGCTGCAAAAATTCAGAACTCTTACATATGAAATTACTGTATATATTTAATATCGTTGTTTTTTCCTAGTGTAATTCAATAAGATACACCTTAATACACAAAAAAAAATATCAAAAGCTTTGAGAGTCTTTTCCTTTAATCCCTACATGATCCAAGTTTTATTGCCCTCAGCAGGTAACTTCCATAATTGCTCGCAAAAGCCAGCACGATGAAGGTTGAAGGCAATAATTATATCATAATCCAGGACCTATATTCTTATTAAGATATAGAAGCTATAGAAAGAACGCCCTATACCACCAATCAGTATGTATTGGTATATCGGAAACGGTAAAAGTTAAGTTGGAGGCGGAATTCAAAAGAAGTTGTTGACTGCTAAATATCCATATATCGGTCAATTTTAAAGAAAAAAATTAAACTGATAGTTTTCTTTGTATTAATACTTCGTTTTGATCTTTGACGCTTCTTTTAAGAAGCCATTATCGGCGTAGATTATTAAATATGAAATATGGGCGTTTTTCAATTTTATTTTCTTTGGGCATTCGAAAATCGCTGGTCCCTTAAATTTTTTGTGTATGATTAAGAAAATCAGAACTTCATCTTGCAATAAAAAAAAATCTGTAAACAAAGTAGAAATAACAATAAGCAAGACAATGCTAAATTATTTTCAAAATTGGAGTGCCATTGCAATAAAAAAATACATTTTTATGATGGACAAAAATATTGATAATGCAGTTGGGCAGCATGCAGCAAGAAAAAAAAGAGAAAAACTTTTTACAAATTTAACATGATCTGGATGTGCGTCAAAAGTTTGAAAAACGGTTTCTCGGAAGCGAAACGTCGTAGATGAAATCTACGCATACCATATTCGTAAAGCGTAGTCAAATTTTCATTTCTAGACTTTAAAATTGACAACTTTTTTCAACTTTAACCATCGCCGTAGCTTTAACCATTGGCGAAATTTTCTCTGAAAATTAATTGAAAATTTTTCAAAACTCTTTCGCTAAAAGCCAAACTACAAGTACAAGGCGTTTTGGCTCGATCCAATACGCTCTCCAACATGGCGAAACGACTCTCCCGGAACAATGAACACTCCCCCTACGCTGTAAATCGTTCTTCGAGTGTCTGGTATTAATTAGTAGGATGCGACGGTACTTCGAATTACATGCTCTTAATTGGATCTAATTTTACGAAGGCGAAACATTTTCGTAGCCTCGTGCGACGACACGTCCCACGCCGTCCCCAGCACTGCGGTCCCGGAAGCCTCGCTTCTATACTACTAACGCGAGCAAATTTTCACTGCAGCTACGCCGGGCGTCATATGCAGCGGCTTCCAAGGACCAAATGGCGACTCGCCGTTTACAAGAACTCAAGTCCGAGACCCGTCGAGGATGATTTATGGACGACCGCCATTCGGGCTGCGGTCTTAAGGTATTTATCATTTTCGTTTAATTTTCTAGTCCGTCCTCAGACGTTTCGGATCCCGATAACGCCCGTGATAAATTGAAGTTTGCTTGCAATTTTGGGTTGGAGGAAGGGTGGGCGGGGGTTTACCTGAGGTCCTGTGTCGCAGCCTTATAGTCTTCCGCGATTTATACGCCAGGTTATTAAATTATTAATCACGGAGTGGGGTAGAAAAGATTTATGCTCGCTGCGGGAGGGGTTGAAATAAACGACGCGTTTATACTAAAAAATAACACTTTATTAACGTCAGTTTACACGGAGTCATGGAAATTTACATGAAGCGAAGGTCTTCCGTGCGCGCGCGCTGATTGGCTGTCGCAAAAAATAAAATGGTGGTCGGGTATTGCTTTACGATATAATCAATCCAGTTCATGGGGATTAATTCCGCACACCGTCCGGTTAGCTTAGAAACAAACGAAAAATGTGGCGAGAAGGGTGACTACAATACTACTGTCTGCTTTCGCGTTTTTTCTTCTTTCGTAATTTTTCTCGTCATGACAAGTCAAGCGAAAAATAAATAAAAAATGTAGAGTGCTAAATTGGACATAAATTGCTGTAAAAACTTTGGTTTTTCTATGAAAAAAAAAATCCTTTCCAAAAATACAGCACACTTGATATTTTTCTCGAGCCCTATTCTTAATATAAAGTTGAACACATAGCCTTTGGGCGGAGAGAAAACTAAATCGTACGTTGTTAGATTGGAATTTCGGTCGTCTTTAAAATAAATGGGATGTTGTGTGAATAGTGTGAAAGGATTTGGACGCGATTGCCCGTTGATTTTACTTTAATCTATTTGAAAAGTTTAAACTTAATGCTAGCGTGTTTAGACCCAAATCATCATTTAAGAACTGCTAGTACGCGTTTGTTTTCTGTATATGGTTCCATGGTCCAACGGCTACTTGTTCAAAATTCAAAATTTATTTTTTTGAAAAACTCAGCAAACTCAGGTTCTTTGAATTATTCAAAAACATAAATGGTATAAAAAAACATTTGTTTCTGTGAAACTACTAATTTTAAAAATACTATGTACTTGAAAAAGAAATGTTTTCATAAAAACACAAAAATTTTCATAGCAAAAAATTGCAGAGGCTTTTGAAAAAGGCTCATTTTGAAATGGTACAATCTATCCATGCACGGTTTGTTAAAAAAAATTGAACTTCGGTCTATCACTTTAAGATCTGCACATTTTAGCAACACCCATAAAAACGAGGGTGGGGGACCGTGGAAATTTAAATTTCCCCCGGAAAATAGACTAACAATTTCAAATGTTAGTTAAAGCCCTCACACCCCCCCAAATGAATTTGTGTCGTGTACGCCACTGTTTAAGCATTGCCCCGCTGAAAGTAAAACGAAAAATAAGCAAAATCGGCGCTGAGAAATCTGAAATATTGAAACATTGAAACGTCTAGCAGAGACCGTATTATGGACGAGCGGGAATCTCTGATCATCCCCACCACCTCGCCGCTGTACGAGCGAGGAGAAATAATATTTTTCTTCATTATCGCACATTCCTTTTTGACGTTCGCGGGCGCGCGGTTGAAAAAAAAAAGGAAAACACGCACCAGACGAGAGAATTGAGGTGCCATTACCGTCAATATTACCAACTCCCTTCGTTGAAATTTTGCGAATTTTATCATTGCAAATTCCGGTACGTTTCAGTAACATAGACGGAAGTTGAGGGAAAATATATATTTATCGACGACCGGTTGCTCGGTGCACAATATCGAATCCGGGAAAAATAAAACGCCTGTTACGTCCGGCATCTACTGCGAACGAAAGTTAAAAAAAAAGAAGCGATTGTGAAACTCAGAAGCTAAGCGTTCTACTACACACGCCGACGAAGCACTGTCATATAATCGTTGCAAAAATTACATTTCATTTTTTTCTAGCAGTAGGGGCAAAAGTATTGTTGGCTTATATAAAAAAAATTAAAGAAAAGGCCCCAAAATTTTTTGCAAAACATTAAACAAAAGTGTACAAACTGCAAAATACTCCTATTTATCATGTTTTAAATAAATGTTTCAAATATTCTCAATTATACAGGGTGTTTCTTAAAAGCGTAGCAACGCAAAAATATATTTGTTTAGTGGAACATCCTATATATTTTTGCATATTACGATAATTCCAAAAGAAATGTATATATAACAAGACTTCAGATGAGACTTTTCTCAAATTTAACTTCAAAAATATAAAACATATGTAAAAATACACGGGGTGACTAAAAAAAATCGTTTTTTTAGTTATTTCCGAAATATTTCATGATACCTAAATACAATTTAGGTCTTTACTTTAAACAAGAGCACCTTTTTTTATGGAAAACTGCTTAATTATCTCCGTAGAAAAAAGTGGAGGGCAAAATACTGGTACCTCCCATTTCGAGCTTCTCTAGATAATAAATAAAAGTCTTTTTGGGGCACCGTTTACAGAGCTTAGAAGAGTTAAAAATGTAACCTTTTTATGAAACGTCTCGTATAATTTAGAATATTTTTAAAATATTTGTCTATCGATTTTATGTAACACTTGTTAAAACATTTTTTGGAAATAATGATAAATAAACCTTATTGCACTATCCTGTATACGTCGAAATATATTACAGTGCAATGTTGACGGTGCGAGGTTATTGTCTGTAAGTCCCAAAGAAGGCAACGTGACACCGCCCCGCCCCCGCCTATTGCAAATTTAAGCCGTCTATGGCGTAAAACAAATAACATCGCTCAAAACAAAACCGTCCACCCCTGGCAAACCCGCAAGGCAAAGCCCCTCGTCATCAGGCCGTTCAATTCGTTACCGTCTTATACAGTCTACTGTTGCTCTATTATTGTTTTTACGTGTTTTTTTATACCCCTTTGTTACAAATTTTCCACTCACAGTTAATATATTATTAATTGTTTTTCTTTATCACAGCCATGGGAATCTCGTCTACTAAAAATTTTCCTCGAATACCGATTTTAGAACAAACGATTCAAAAGTCAATCCTAAGGTTGTCGTCGCGCGACGCCGTCGCCGAAGAAAGCCGATTAAATGTTAAGGGTTCTAATTCGGGAACGGTACCGCGCGTTGGTCCGGGTCTCAAAACTATTACGTCAAGACAACTACTATTAAGGCATGGCCGTCACGTAATCGTCGTGCGGTCATTCATCCCACAAACACTGCTGCTTCTCGGTGACGTAATAGACGAACCTGTGACATATCTTGCATGTCTTAATCCCGCAACGGTACGTCGTCACCGAGTTTTTAGTGTGACCTTTGCCCTTACAGTACTTCAATTCGCAAGGATACCAACCGATGCACTGCTCGAGCTGACACGTACACGGTGTCCAAATGTTTTTGACGTCCGTACAGTTTGATATACTGTAGGTCGGTTGCCGCGGTTCGATGTCGTTGGTGCCGACGTAATCGGGTGTCGTGGGGAAACGTTTCAAAGCGGCCTGGTACGACGCTACCGGTATCCCTGGCAAAAATACTTATTAATTAGTTACACAGTTAAAAGACGTTTTAGAATTTATTATGAATGTTTTCTTTTAACGCATTTACTTTTTTTGAATATTCTCTAGAATTTTTTTTGTGTCCTTTGTAATTTGTAATTACAATTTCAATAAAAGACATCTAATAAATGTATCAGTGGGGCAGTTATTATTTGTTATTTGTAACGAGCGGAGCGAGTTTTTAATAAATGAGTGAGTTAAAAAGTTTACCGAACGTGTTGCATACTATGCTTTTTCTACGACCGTTGGTTTTTGGGTACATTTTCGCCAAACACGAATACATTCACTGACATGACCGTCAGAATTGACAAACGTCAAAATTCAAAGCGTGGGAAATATCTCCGAAAACATCCGATTGCTCCCAAATCCGTGCGGTAAAATCCCGGAAATGTCCGAAGTGACTCGGATTCATGGGAAACGAAACTGACGTGGTAAAGTGACGCTTCCCGCACGCTAGATCGGTGGGTAATTAGGTATTTTACAGACGGGAGTAGAAAAAAAATATATAATCATATATAAAATATAGCGTAAAATGAATAGTGATTTTCGACGAAATAAACTTTTTGTTCCGATAAGTTTTACGAACAGTGTTGAGTTTTATTATAGCGTTTAACACATGCAATCGACATTTGTAGATTGAAAACCGTAACAATATGGAAACATTATAAACCTAAAAATATTTGATTTTTTTTAACTATACCTTACATTAAAAAATATAAAGTCCACGATAAAACGACCGCCCTGTACCTATACGCATATTTAAGCGCTTTCTCGTGATTATAGGCCGGACAGATTTATTGTAATAATAATATTCATATCGCGCTAGGGGCATGTGCTGAATAGATCGTTTTATGTTTCTGTCATAAACAGGGACGCGCCCCTACGGCGATATTAATTTAATTAGTTCGCGGATCCGTGGGATTAAACCTCCAGTTCGTCTCGCACGTCTAAAAATCGAACTCCGACTTACCGCGTACTGTGGCCCATTTAAGTACGTCTTCGTATCGCGTATACGACGCCTGTCCCGCTTCTGAACATACGTCCCGAATGAAGGGACTAATGACGGCCGAGTGTTTCAAAACGACCGAGTGATCCAACGTGTGATTAACCCTGCGGTAAAGAAAAACGCTATATTAATTACTGAAACAACTAAAGCTAAACTACGCGAACTACGCAAAATCAGAAATGTAAGATGAACTAAAATAATTAATAAAGGCTTTACAGTCACTAGAATTAATTCGTTAACACAGCAGACAAAAATATGTTCAAAACTACACATGTTTAAATCCGGTTATGATGGCATTTTGATAACAAGATATGTGACTATCGCTTGCATGCCGTTCCATTATCTTTTACTATACGAATAATCACTAACTCGTGTAATATTAATGCACCAGTTGATGTAATGTACACATATTTCGCGAAGGCTTTTGATAAAATCTCCCACTCATAATTACTACAAATATTAGTGAATGATTTTTGGGGTTCATTTTAGGTTCCTGAAATTCCTCAGGGCTCTAATCCTTAGCTTTTCCTCATTATTAATGATTTGCTAATGACTTCAGATTATCAAGGATGAAAGTGACTACACAAAACTCGGTCTAACGTAAACAAATAACAAATTAATATTTTTAAGTGTTGTGTTTTACGCTTTACTAGGAAAACAATAAATGAAAGTTTCCATTTTAACAAGCGTATATGAAATGAGAGATCTTGGAGTAACTTTTGACACGCAACTATTATCTAAAACACAAGTAGATTGTATTAAACATTCACCATGTACAGGTTCGTTGTAGGAAACTGTATAGGATTTAAAAAATGTAAACAACTTTAAACAGCATGTCAAAAGCGTTTTAGAGTATGCCGTAATGGCGTAATATCGGGTCCATTTGATGACGTATTTAAGTACGTCGCATGGTTGAAAGAGTACAGAATAAATTTTTTATACATCTGTATTATAAGAGAAACTGAAGTGTACGACATAACTACAGCGAAAGCAGAATTAAGGCGAACAAATAATATACCAGGTTTGAAACATTCTTCATAGCAGAATTGATGATATAAGTTTACAATCACAAATAACTGTCACAACTGGGTAAAATTTGGCAACTGTGATGTATCGAGGAAGCTGACTTGAAAATAAAAACAAAAAAGCAAAGGCGGACATTACCTTCCCAGATCGTCTTCGGGGGTGCGTATAGTACTCGGATTCTTCTGTCTGAGTTTCGACATGGCGTCCGACGATATAAACGAATCCTTCGGGAAATGGAAAATGAAGCACATCACCTGGTACTGGCTCTGGCCCCGCTCCTCCTCACCTAGTATAAGGCTCTTCAATATCTGCACCTCCTATAGACAAAGCGCGACAATTATTAGGGCCAAAGTTTGCGGAGGAATAATTGAAAACAACTGCGAAACCTCCGGACCGTAACAAATCGCCACGAATGTCGATTAAGCCGTCGTTTTGGGACAAAACAAAGATGCAATTTATCCCGTAACCCCGGGGACAACCCCTTTAGCGGGACGGTCGAATGAATTTATACGGTCGCAGTTCCAATATGCGGGGGTCCAATTCGAATAAATTTCAATTGAACTGTTAACTCCCGGAAGGCAGTGTCGCGAACGATAGCTGGTAAACTTCCGCCTATACCGGACGTTGCTTAGCTAAAACAGCAGAACATTATTCCGAACGAACTTCGGGGGGTGACTTATGGCCCGGCAATACAATACCGGAAGGGCAGGGCCTCCGTTCGTGCCGACCGCGCTATAATCAGGTGCTTTAATGCTTTGATATTGGAAATTGAGAATTCTTTGTTTCGTGCATGCACGAACTGATTCGCCAGTAGCACAACGGTGGTTCACGGTAGATGGCAGCTTAGACGTTAATAGCTTAGGGAAGTTTGGTCCATTGTATAAGCGAGGACGATTTACCTGACATATTTATCGCTATCACTATTTTTTGTTCAAAACATAGTTGCAGCCATATTTGAATTCGCAGTCAGCTGAAATTTTGGCAATAGTTCACAAAAGACTCAAGCAACAGTTTTATGATTTAGAACCGATAATCGCACAAACCTGAAAGCGGAAACGAGATTCACTGAAACTCGCAACGTCTAATGAAGACAAAGTAATAAATATTCTAGATAAAGATCACCAGATCTAACCACGCGATTTTTATTTGTGGGGTATTTTAAAAAGAAACGCGTACAAAACAGTTGTACGATGTAAACAACAAGACCTAGACAGAAGTGAAATGAGGAGGGCCCAACTGATGGGAATACGAATATTAAAACGATTTTAGAAGCCGATTTTCGCTAATGTTAAAAATTTATTATAAATATTTTATTGTTATGCACACATTTTTTAATATTTCCTAAATAATGTTTAGCGTGACTGCTAAACTTAGTTCTGGAGCATAACTATCTAAATTATTTTGTGACTATCATGTTCTCGTTCATTGCTTGCATTTCCGAATACATTTTATTTAACGTTGTACAATTGCTGTTAGTTTGACACATTGTTCGTGAAAAATAAACAAATTCATCAAAACTTTATTTCAGCACTTCACCGTTCAAGTTCACTTTGTCGGCGACTTTCACCATATAAGCTGTTAATAATATAAAATAATATTGAAATATAAGGTGTTCCCTTCGAAAAAATGAAATTGTCATCACGTTTGTTCCACGCACATTGAACTATTGCGTGAGACATACGTAAACTATAATCAGAAACTGAGGACGAATGGGGGTGAATTTATAATATTAAAGTTGATGCTGCTTTTTCGAAGAAGCGGCAACGTCGCATCGCTGAAAACATTAGATCGACCAAATTTTAAGAACGGTACTATATCTATGTCTACCCATTGAGCCAATATTGACAATAATATTATTAAAAATATGGTTGGTCAAAAAATAATACTAATTGAATTTACAACTTTTAGCTGGCGTTATTTTGTACAGCCACTGAAACGGTTTAACGACGCGTAATTTTATAGGGTGCGGGTTTGGGTTGAGATTAAAGCGAGAGACGATATTTTATATCGTTTGGCGTTTTCCAAAGCCTTTCGGGCGATCGTATTCCGACGTCTGCAACCATTACGGGGCCCTGTTGGTGTTGGACAAACAGAGTCCCGACACCGCAAAGTAAACACGCCGCTCCATTAAGTGTATTAGAGAAATCTGCCGGCTTAAGCGCGAGTAAGTCGGATACAGCAGTTACCTCAGAGCGCTGTTAATTTTATCCGTTTCGTTCCGCCCGTATTTGCTTTATGGGGGACGTTTGACAAAAAAAATCGGCCTCCGTCCTCTCTCAGATCGATACGCCCGCAGTAAAAATGGCCGCGGTCCGATGCGACGTCGGTATGATGTGGCAATCAAAATACGTTTCTTTTCGGAAAAAAAAATTAAAATTAGAATTAATCATCAAATAAACTTAATTATCTTTTAGTTATTTAGAAATATTTAGTAATTTAACTAATTGGAATTAATTAATAATTTAAACAAATACAATAATTTCTTAATTTAATCAGTTAAAATTCATTAAATTAATCAGGATTTATAAAATTGCAAACTAATTAATTGGAAAAACTAAAATAATTAGAATTTATCAAAAAATTAGTATTAGTTACGAAATGAAATAAATTACTGACTTAATCGGAATTAATTCTTCCATTAACTAGTTTCATTTATTCAAATAATTAGATAATTATTCAAATGATTAGATTTATCTAATTAAATAATTAAAATGAAATATTATAACATATTTAATGACAGCGATAAGTTGCTTTAAAAAATCAGCTTCGTTACTCAGTCGTAAATCACTTAGGATATTTTCGAGCTCTCTTGCAAAATTATTTATAAACTCATCAATAATATTAAAAAAGCGATTTTAATATAGTTTTCGACCGAGGGGCCTTTTATTTCAATGTTTGCAAACAACGCCATAAATTAATTCAAAACGAACAAAAAAAACGCAGTCGCGCCCGGCCAATAAATTTTATTCAATAACAATAATGCCCGGCCGCATTATACGAGCCGCGCAAACAATTAAATAAATTTCGCAAACTAATTCGTGCGCCACATGTTTATGCACGGTGATTCGAAAAGCGCGTCGCACAGTTTCCCGCCAATTTATAACCTGGTCGGACGTAAATATTGACGAAAAAAAAACCATGCATGCAAATCCTCTTCAACTTTGCATCGAGCATTGTCCGTCACTCTACGCGAACAATACGACGTGTTATTTTTTTTCTCGACGCTCCCTTCCACCGGCCGAAATCACCTCCGCATCCTCCGGCTGCCTTGTCAAATTTTCCGGGCGTGGAGGGCGGGAACAAATATTGGTCCGAGTCCAAAAAACAACATCCGCTCTCGGAGCTTTTAAGTGAGATTAATATTCTATATAGGTCAGCCGTCACGGTAATCTCCCGCCGCTACAATCTTCGTCCCACTCCGCCTCGCGAACAAAAACGGATATTAATTCATCCGCGAGGAACGCTCCGACCTTTTAAGAAAGATTCCAAGCGAACCCGGGCAGAGTTCGATTTAGCGATGGGTCCACTGTTGATCACCCCGTTACGATCAAATCGTTGGTTAAAATACGTTGTTAATAAAAATTACGCAAAATGCCATATTAAAAAAAAACTCCAACTCAAGAATGCTTAAAAATGCCCCCGGAAAAGTTTCAAAAATCCAAAACAAACTCTTGTGTTACACGACGAATTACCGTTTACCAAAATACCGACGACTGAACGAGTCAGTCCGTGGTGCGCAGTTAACCGGTGTGTTACTTATTTAAATTAACGCGCGCTCAGGAAAATACAAGGATGAAATCCCACAAATTCACCGGCCCTTAATTTTCTTCAGTACAAAACCCCAATCCACATCCCCTCGAAAGGTTCACCCCCGTATAAAACCAACACGTGTTCCGAAAACGGATGTATCCCGCTCGTTGTTCTGCGACAACGATATTAAGAGGCCAATTTTTTTTGTTCCGAATTTATCTCGGCTTTAGATCGTTTTTGAATGTCCCGGGACGGTATTAAAAAAAAATCGACGAAACTGAAACAAAACGGCTTTAAACGGGGCATATTTGGTGTGCAGGGATATTGGGATTTAATCTCTCCCGGTCACTTATCACGAGATATGCCGTACGGTCCGCGACACAAGCGCGTTTAATTGTCGTAATCCTCGAAACATTTTAATGCGGCGTTTTAAATGCATTTACCGCGAATTTCTGGACCGTGCGCGAGGCGCTGGCCTTAATATTTAAACATCGCCTCTAAAGTTCCTCGCTTTCGCCGTATTTTATGACGACCAAGTTTCGGATCGTTGCGGTACCGTACATTAAAATGCATTTATTTCGCCATTAAAAGTTCCGTCCCGCCTCTATAACAGACGACGATTTTATATCGTTTTTCTAGTCGTTCTAGTATATTAAAAAAAAGTATTTTGCAAAATTGCCTAATAATAATGACCAGTCTGATGAACTACTTGAATAAACGTACATATTTGTTTTTAACGATATACTATTTTATTCAAAAATTCGACGATTTAATATTTGATTTTATTTGTGTCTTCAAAATGTATTGGAGGAGTTTGTTTAAATTCATCGGTGGACTGTACCAGCTCACTGGACTTATTACAGCATATTCCCAGTAGCCTACATCTTCCGGTACATATAGGTAATTAAGATGCATGTATAATAAAGTCATTGTAGACATGAAAATTCAATATGATAGGACATTTGTCTAAAAAAATACTATTCATTATTTCTCATCAAGCTCTGTTTTTAGTAAGATAACATGTGAACCTAAAAGAAAAATGTTTAATCAATTTAATCAATTTACGATAACGGAGACGCTAATGATGATGAACATTGATAACTTCTCACGGAAACGACATCTGTCCAATGATTATCACAACAACTTAGCCAGAATTAACCAGCTTATTGGTAAATCCGACCCGACATAGTCAATCTAGAATATAACATAAACGAGGACAATGATGGCGATGAACATTGATTAACTCCTCACGGAAACCACATCTGTCAAATAACATAAGAAGGATCACAGAATGACTCGGGGATAAGATGATCTCGCGCGGACCTTCCCAGACCTTCAAAGAAACAAAAAACGACCGACCTGACGCCGTAAACTTTTTAAAGCCGGTCTCTGTTCTTTTGTCGCTTCGTTATCCCCGCAAATTGAACTATTCTCGTATCTCAAAAATAAATTTTGGCCCGGGATCCGGGATTTCGACGTCTCATCGAAATAAATCCTTCGCAGTCAAAAAAGGAAAAAATGTACGACATATCCCGGGTACGTCTGTCCTTTAAATCCTTTGACGCCG